GAATAGCCTCAGCAATTTTGAGAAAGAAGAACAAAGTAGAAGGGATCACAATGCTTGATATCAAACTATATTACAAGGCCACTGTAACCAAAACAGTCTGGTACTGGCATAGGAACAACACATAAATTAATGGAACAGAATAGAGATCCCAGAAATAAATGCATGTCTCTATGGTTGATTAATATTTGACAAAAGATCAGGAGAATAAAGTGGAGTAAAAATAGCCTCTTCAAGAAATGGTGTTGGGAGATCTGGACAAGTACATGCAGAAAAATTAAACTACACCACCAACTTACACCATATGTCAAAATAAACTTAATATGGATAAAAGATTTAAATATAAGTTGTGACACCATAAAAGTCCTAGAGGAGAAGATAGGTAGGAAAATTTCAGATATCCCATGCAGCAATACTTTCACTGATATGTCCCCTAGAAGAGCAAGGGATATAAAAGAAAGAATAAACAAATGGGATTACATCAAATTAAAAAGGTTCTGCATGGCTAAAGAAAACATCAGCAAAATGAAAAGGGAACCAACTGTATGGGAAAATATATTTTTCAATGGTACTTTGGACAAAGGTTTGATCTCCAAAATATATAAAGAACTCACACGACTCCACACTGGGAAGACAAACAAGCCAATTAAAAATGGGCAAAGGACCTGAACAGATATTTCTCCAAGAAGGACATACAGAGGGTCCAGAGCAATATGAAAGGATGTTCAGCATCACTAGCCATCAGAGAGACTCAAGTTAAAATTACAATGAGATACCACTGCACACTGGTCAGAATGACCATCATAAACAAATCAATAAACAACAGGTGCTGGAGAGGTTGTGGAGAAAAGGGAACCCTAGTGCACTATTGGCAGGAATGCAGACTGGTGCAGCCTCTATGGAAAACAGTATGGCATTTCTTCAAAAAAACTAAAATGGAACTGCTTTTTGACTGAGTGATTCCACTGCTGGGATTCCACTGCTGGGATTATACCCTAAAAATCCTTAACTATCAATTCAAAAGAACCTATGCACCAATGTTCATAGCAGCATTACTAGTAACAGCCAAGTGCTATAAACAGCCTAAGTGCCCATTAGTAAATGAGTGGATAAAAAGACTGTGCTACACATACACAATGGAATACTACGCAGGAGAAAGAAGGAAGGAACTCCTACTCTTCACTATAGCATGGATGTAACTGGAAAGTATTATGCTAAGTGAAATAAGCCAGGCGGTGAAAGACAAATACCATATGCTCTCACCTATAAGTGGAACCTAATCAACAAAACAAACAAGTAAGCAAAACAGAACCAGAGACATGGGAATAAAGAACAAACTGAAAGTGATCAGAGGGGAGGGGGAGGGGGATAACTGGGGAAAGAAGGGGAAAGATCAAGTCAGGGAACATGTATTACCTTCAAGGAACATGAAGTACCTTCAGACAAGGGACAATGTGGGGGGAGGATTGAGTGTGGGAGGGTGTGGTCAGGGCAGAGGAAAGCAGTGGCAGGGGGAATGAGGACAAATGTAATTGAACAACAATAAAAAATTTAGAAAAAATGAAATTGGGATTTTGAATGGGATTGTATTAAATCTGTATTTTGCTTTGGATAATATGGCTATTTTAACTATGTTGATTCTTTCAATCTATGAACACAGAAAATTTTCTATTTCATTGTGACTTTTTAAATCTCTTTTAATAATGTTTTGTAGTTTTCAGTATATAGGTCCTTCACATACTTTGTTAAGTTTATTCTAGGTATTTTATTCTTTTGGTTATAACTGCAAAAGAATGGTTTTTTAAAATTTGTTTTTCTGAAGTTTCATTGTTAGTATATAGGAAAGCAGTGGATTTTTGTACAATGATTTTTGTATACTGCAAGTTTACTGTATTTGTTTATTGTTTTTAATAGTGGTTTGGTGGAGTCTTTAGGGTTTTTATATACAGAATCATATTATCAGCAAAAAGTGACACATTTGTTTCTGCCTTCCCAATTTGGATATGTTTTATTTCTTTCTCTTGCCTGATTGCTCTGGCTAGGACTTCCAGAACTGTATTGAATAAGGGTGGTGAGAGTGGGCATCCTTGTCTTGTTTCTGATTTTAAGGGAAAAGCATTTTAAGGGATATTCAATATTTATTGAATATGATATTGGCTGAGGGTTTATCATTTGTGGCCTTTATTATGCTGAGGTACTTTCCTTTTGTACCTATTTTATTGAGTGTTTTAATCATAAATGGATGTTGCATCTTATCACTTTTTCTGCATCCATTGGTAAGATCATATGATTTTTAGTCTTTGTTTTGTTAATGTGGTGTATTACATTGATCAATCTGTGTGAGTTGAACTGTCCTTGTGCCCTGTAATGCACCCCACTTGATTGTGATGCATTGTTTTTTTAATTTATCATTGTATTTTATTTGCTGGTATTTTGTTTAGGATTTTTGCATCTATATTCATCAGGGATATTGGTCTGTAGTTTTCTTTTTTGTGTATTATCCTTTCCAGGTTTTGGTATCAACACTGCTAACATGGATTAAGAAGTATTGACTTTACTTCATTTTTTTGGAAGAGTTTGAGAAAGATAAGTATTAAATCTTTGAATGCTTGGTAGCATTAACTAGTTAAGCAATCTGGTTCTGGAATTCTGCTTTTTAGAAGGGGTTTGATGTTTGTTTCAGTTTCCTCATTGTTAGTCGGTCTATTTATATTTTCCAATTTTCATGATTCAGTCTAGGAAGGTTATATATTCCTAGGAGCTTATCCATTTTTTCTAAGTTATTGAGTTTGGTGGCATATACTCTTTCACAGTATTCTGGTACGATCCTTTGTATGTTTGTGATGTCTGTGGTAACTTCTTTCATTTTTTACTTTGTTTTTATGGGTCTTCTCTCTTTTTTTCTTAGTGAGTCTAGCCAGGTGTTAGTCAATTTTATTAATCTTTTCAAAGACCCAGCTCTTTGTTTTATTAATTTTATATAGTCTTTTTGTTCTCTATTTCATTCAGTTCTGCTCTAATTTTTATTATTTCTATTCTCCTGAGTTTGGGTTGCTTTTGTTCTTCTCTTTCTAGTTATTTAAGATGCAATGTTAGGTTGTTATTTGGGATTTCTCTTGTTTCTTGACATAGGCTTGTAAGATATAAATTTCAGTCCTTTTATTACTGCTGTCACTTCATCCCAGAAGTTTTCATATGTCATATTGTCATTCTCATTTGCCTTTCTATGTCTTTTGACTTTTTCTATTTCATTTCATATTTTGCTCTATTCCTCAGTGTGAATCTCTCCACATTAGGAGCAAGTAGAAGATTTTACAATCCAGCCTATAATTTTTTCCAGGTTTATGTATATCTCTTAATCATTTATTTTTACTTATTCACAAACATTTATTTAGTGTCTCCTATGTTCTAGGTATACTTATGTTCTATGTTCTACCTACAAAGCAGTGAATGCAATGGATGCTTTTGCTGTCATCTCAATATATATTTTCCTTTTAGTTGTCCCAGATCTTCAAGGTCAATATCAGCTTAAACTCAGTTCTCTGCCTAACACCCATCTTGTACTCTTTCCATCTTATTTCTCAGCCCATTCATCTCCACTTCTTTAGGCTTCATACAACAGGGATGCCAGTTATATCCAGTGGTATTTTATCATCCTTTGGTGACTGGATTGGTGTTACAGTCTGAATATTTATGTTCTCAAAATTCAGATGTTGAAACCCTACCCTTTAATGTAATGGTATTAGAAGATGAGGCTTTGGGAGGTGCTTAGTTCATAAGAATGGAGCCCTCATGCATGGGTAAGTACCTAAGAAAAGAAGTTCCTGAGAGATCCATAGCCCCTTCCTCCACGCGAGAACACAGTGAAAAGGCCATGAACCAGGAAGACAGCTCTCACTGGAATGCTGGTCTTTAATCCTGGGCAACTTCCCAGACTCCAGAACTGTGAGAAATAAATTTCTGTTGATAATCTACCCAGTTGGTGGCATTTTGTTATAATAACCTTAACTAAGACAGCTGGACATGCTGGTCATTGGAGACAAAGAAGGAAGCAAAAACTTGCTCCCTAAGTTCATTCATACAAAACTTTTAGCATAATATTGGCAAAACTGCTGAAGCCCTGGTCAATATTCACTATTTAGATGTAGTAAAAGAAATCACAGGCAGAGTAAACAGTGCCATCTAGAGTATGCATGACTCCAGGCTGTTGCTGAAACCACAAGAGATTATCAAACCAATGTTGCAGAACCTACCTAGCACAGACAGTATAAAAACAAAGAAATTCTTTCCCACCACTCTTTCACCCCCAAGAAAAATTCTTAATAAATTCCCTTTATTTTCTGTTCTCTAATTCCTAGAATTAGAGACTTCTTTATTGAAGCATGCTTGGGGCACTCTTGCACTTAGTTTATGCCCAATAAAGCTGATTTGATTTTGATCATGAGTAATGGCAGAAAGTGGTGGTTAGGAGTATAGAGTAAGACAGTACTTCTTTTTTTTTAATGTGTATGGTTTTCCTATAAAAACTGCATATAATTTATATTACATTTAATCAAGGAAAATACTGAATCTGTATAAAATAATTGTTCTGGTAAAACCATAAATATATGTCATACTCCTAAGAAGAGAATATTACCTCAAGCCAAATTTAAGAAAACAATTGCATGATGTATTAGTTTTATTTACAATTATTTTTTAGATAAGAAATTTCCTTACTGTATATCACTACATTAATAACAACAATTAGATAGTATTATCATCTATGCATTTATTTTTTACTATGAAAAATTTCAAACATCCAGGGGGTAGGAGTAGAGCTGACTCTCAAAAAAAAAAAAACCCCCAGGAATTTAGAGAACATTTATTAAAGTGTCTTGGGTTTCAATTCCACATTTTGCAGTCTCTGTATATGGCAAATTAAATAAATATTTCATCTTATTGGCTTTCCTTTTAAACTGATAATTTATAAATTTTATCTATAAACAATAAAAATAGTGACTTACATGTCAACTGAAATAAGTTTCTTTCCCCCATTTCCAGAGGCATAGTTCCAAGTTGTTTCAATAATTCCAATGTAATAGTGCTTATCTTTTGCCCAGACTGTGCTACTATATAAAAACAAAAAAATACCCAGCAGCAGAATCTTCATTTTTCCCCCTTCTTGGATCCCCAGAAGCAATGAAGTGAAGTCAGAAGCAGGCAGCTTTATAAATGAGGCTCTCTTCCTTTATTTGCTTAATTGACACAATTTAATGTTGCGTAAGAGTAAACCGTTCGTTAAAGCAAATAACACTTTGCGAGTTTTAGTTCAGTTCTCGTAATCCCAGAAAAAAAAAAAACCAGTTTTCTGTTGCCAACCTCCTCCGATTACAAATAAAAGTCAACAGTTATTGCTGGTGGACTAGAGTTTGCATAACTGTGCTTCTTCCACTCCTTGTGTAAACTTCAGAAAGGCAGAGAGCATCTCTAAATGCTTCTTTTGTTCCTCCAACAATAGGCCACAGTACAATGCCCCGCAGCTATGACCTGCCAATAGACCAGGATGAAAATTATGCATAGTGAATCAAAACATGTGGCTTTTTACTTTCAGAAAGTCTAACAATACTTACTTGCAACTTTAAAACATGAAACATGATCTTTACCATGCCAAATTTAAGGACCTAAAACTAGAAATTTTATTTTGAAGGATTTATTTATTCTGTGAGTTCTGAACACATCTGCATAGAAAGTTTACAGGTTATTCTGTATTACTATATGCAAATCAGTAGCAGAGCATATTGGAGGTTATAATTCTGTTTCAATCATCAAAGAAATCAGACATAAATCAATGTGTTTTTAAAGGCAAAGGTTAGTCTTAGTAAATATGAGAAAGTGCAAAGTTTATTAACCTGTGATTTCTGCTTTTGACATGGATGTGAATTTTAGGGAAAAATGTTTTTAATACTCTATCCTTAGTCACGATATATTTGTCTAAAAATATAAGGTAGCTTTTTTCTTAGCTAAAGAAAGGCCTGGTGATAACTGCCTATTTTGTGCTAGTATAAACTTTTCCTTTAGAATACCACAATCTTTTAGTATTGTATTTGCCAAAAGTTGTTTAAAGAAGGAGATTGGGATAGGAGAAAGTACTCCAATGTTTGAACAATTTGTTTATTTAATTAGCATTACTGAAGGATCCCACTGTGCTGGGGCCGCCCGTTGCTAAGCACTGGGGAAAAAACAGTGAACCTCTACCCTCTTCAACTTACATTGATTGCACTTAATAGGGACTGACAATATACAAACAAAGAGTGAAATACCCAGTATTAGCAGAAAGTGCTATGGAGAAAAATAAATCAGTGAAGAATAATGAAAGTGAATAATAAATCAGTGAAGAATAATGATGACGATCAAAATCTGGTGGCACCACTTGACATCAGGCAATCTACTTGACCACAGCCTCAGTTTCTCATCTCTGAAATCTCAGTCTCGGAGGTCTGTTTTACGTTCATTGAAATGATCCATGTTAAGGCACATGGTGGACATGCTCCTCTCAGAAGCCAGTAGTAATCTCAAGTAATTGTCTTGATACAGAAAACGGAGACACAGTAGTACACCCAGGATGTCCCAAGACCTCATTCTGGAGTCACCTTAAATGATAGTGCTCCTGCTTCCCACCCTGGCCCACTGAAAGGACTTGAGTGGGGCCAAAATCTTGCCCAGACTCCACTGGCCAAACTCTGTGCCTTGCAAGATGCTGTTCTTTTTAAAAATATATAGAATTGTAAACTTGAAAACTATAAATTTTTATTAACCAATGCCACCCCAATAATTTCAATAAAAATTTGAAAATTAAATTAAATTAAATTAAATTAAATTAAATTAAATTAAAAAGAATCAGCCCACACTGACAGGCAATCTTTCAGTAGTTCATTCTCCCAGAGGAAGGGGACACTTGTTTCTAATTGACACCACGCCAATCTATCTGTATGAGCCAGCAGCTTTCTGGGCACTTCCTTTCCCATCTTCTACTCCATGCTCAAACTCAGCCCTATTGGTTGAAATGATGGTGATCAGAGCACCACAACAATCCCTGAAGTCACTTCTTCTATCACATTCTACACTAAAAAACTGCTCAGATAGTTAGTTACTGAGGGCTCCAGGGAGTTGCAGCAGTTGCAGCTCCCCTCATACTTGGGAAATAAAATGGTTCAATTGCAACACCCCTGACCAGTGCAGTGAACATTTTATGGGGGAATGCAGGAAGGGTTGTAAAGTCCATATTTATGTCCAGTTTTGTGACAGTTGCCCTTCCCATTAAAAAGCATGTAGCTGTGTGGGACAGGAAGTGGGGAAATGCTCTGAACCTCAGATACATCTAAATAAGATGGGAAGAGTACTGGGAGTAATAAGCAACCAGCCCTTGACAGAGTCCTTTGACACTACAAACCTCCTTACAGTGATTTCAGAGTTAGTACCTAAAAGTGAACTGTGAATAATGTTGCTATTGAGCATTTCTGCATTAAAAAAAAATGCATCATGACCAGCACAGACAGGGATGGAACAAGAAGGCAGGGGGCCCACCAGGAGAGGCTCAGCAGATTTAGAGTATTGAGGAACTAGAAGAGAAGAATCTGGATTGCACTAAACAGCTGTCCTCCTAGCTGCATCTGTCAGGTCTTGACTTCAGAATAGCAGGTATACTTTATAGTTTGTTATAAATAATTATTATACACCTAAGATAACTATCTAGTAACCTGGGTTACATAGCACAAGTTTTAATCATTTTCCACACGTTTTCTTGTCACCTTAAAAATTCCTCACCTGGGTAAGTCTTACTTGCATTAAGCAATCAAGATTCTGGGGCTGATATTGGTTAAAATCAAAGAAGCAACCATTTTTATAGAATATCACTTCAGCTTTATTTCTTCTGTCTGGCAAGATGCAAACTACCTCCACTATTCCTGCTTATACTTGTTAGTGTTTTGTAGATCCATGAGAACTGACTTTCAGCCTCTCCTCCATGATATCAGAAGTATTAAGATGCAAACAAACAAGGATAGCTTTTCACTTTGTGGTAGAGAGAGACGTTAAGTATAAAATAGCAGGTCATTTTGTCCATGACCAGTTAGATCACCACAGTGCTATCTTTGTCACAGAAAATTGTGTAACTCTGGAATTTTATGGGTGAGTGTGGTCACGTACAGAACTTTGATAATGAGTCCACTGGCTTGACCTACGAGTCAGGTCAAACACAATGAGGCTGGTCAGTTCATGATTATTTAGGGGATGATGACACAGATAGGTCTTTGGTAGCTCCAACCCCTTTGGTTGCACATGTGTGGGTCAAGGCCCTACTCATCATTTCCAAACATGCAGAGGGGTCACAGGCAAGGGAAGGGAGAAATTCCAGACTCTAATACAGGAAAAGCCAGCCTTAATGGTGTTGACATCTCCAGTACTACAGGAAAGGAGATTTTTAAAAATGGCATATGTATTCAAACTACTTATTTAGTCTTGTTCTCTCACAACATTGAATGAAGTGGAAATCAAAGCATATGATTTATTAACAATGGAAGAGAATCACAATACTAGAATTAATTTTACAAAAGATTAAAGAATATTTATTCATGAGTCTTGATTAGATAGAACTTCAATGTGTTTCCTGAAGCACTTTCCTCCCTTGTCTTGTTTCTATACCACCATTCTGGGTTATACACTCTGCATAGCACTTAATTAACACTTTGATTTGTGCCCAGGTCTTAATTTATAAAGGTGACCGAGTGATGACATGAAGAGGCCAATGCCATTGAAAGAAAATTTGCTGTCACTCACAATTTTCCTAGAATGGAGAGGCACACATGTCATGCAGGGCCACAGGGGGAGGCACCGGATATTTTTAGGAGGCAGAAGGAGAAGTCAGGGGAAAAAGGAAGTATAGGTTACGGCCTTTATTGGAGTTTCTGTGGAAAAGGCAAGGCAGGGAAAACAGATTAGGATTGGCTAGTTTCAATAATTCCAGCAGGCTTTGGGGAGTAGGGACTGTCTCTAGTTGTCTGGTACTTGGTTGTGGTTGATTTAGGACAGGGGAAATAGAGGCTTGGTGTGTGAGAGTTAGTGAAATGGTTGAGGGTATGGACATTTGATTGGTTGGTTTGCATATGTAAGTCTGGTTTACTGACAGATTGTTTATTATCTCTAGGAATTAATGGGCTCTGGGAGAGGCAGTTTCTCCTCAGACAGCAAGTACCCTCTCCCTTCCCTGCAGGTGTTAAAACATATAATATTAAAAATTAGATTCAGACTTCTGGCGAAGATGGAGGTTTAGGCAGATACACATTGCCTCCTTGTACAACCAAAAGAATCAAAACAACACATTTAAAAATAAAAAATAACTAGAATCTCCAGAAAATTGAACTCTATGAAAGTCAGACAATGAAGGAGTTAAAGAAGAAATATTCATTCAAACTGGGAGGAAGGACAGCTGGGGTGGAGAGGATGCAGAGCAAGTGGTGGCCAGTGGAGTCACCCACATTTGTGTGTGGATGAACTAGGAAAAATAACTGGAGAGTGAGACAGGCCACACAACCCAGGGCTCCAGCACAGGGAAATAAAGCTTCAAAACCTCTAACTGAAAAAATCTGTGGGGGTTTCGACCATGAGAAAAACTCCCAGCCTCACAGCAGAGTTCACTGGAGTGACCCACAGGATCCTAGAACATACACAAACCCACCCACCCACGGACATGAACTAAGGGTGGGGGAAATGCTGGTGGAAGGGGGTATGCAGGGAGGAGGGGAACAAATAGGACAACTCTAGTAGCATTATCAATAAAATATATGAACAAAGAATTAAAAACATGATTGATACGTATTTTGTATCAGAATTATCTGTTTATATGAGTGTCTCCTCTATTAGACTGGGCCTCTTTGGGGCCAATGACTGCTCTTTGTTTTGTATTGAAATCCAGGCACTTAGCATAGTACTTGACTCATAGCTTAATAAATACTAAAAAAGTGAATGAATGTTAAATATAATAACAGTCACTAATGCCAATGTATTTAAAAATTTTATTTCCTTTAGTCCTCACAACTACCAATTAGTACTTTTTTATTGCTGCTGAAACAAACTGCCATAAATTTAGTGGCTTAAAACAACAAAAATTTATTATATTATAGTTCTGCATGGCAGAAGGCTGACACATATGTCTCAC